CAAGGCTGGGGGTGTCCCCAAGGACAAGGGGGGGCAATCCCAAGGATAAGGGGAAGGGGTGCCCCCAAGGTCAGGGAGGAAGGAATCAACAAGGATCACGGTGGGCAAACTTACCCTGGGGCCCATGAAGGGAACCTGCTGGTCGTAGAAGCCGTCCATGGTGCGGGCGAAGTGGGCAGTGCCCCCGGCCCGCTCAGCATCGACGCCGGCCCGGGAAGGGGGGTCCCGCCCGGGCTCCGGCAGGTGCGCGGCTGGGGGGCGCAGGGGAGGGGGAGGGGGTCAAACTCTGGCCCCTGCCACCCCCGGGGCTGGCTCGGTGCGGGGCCGCCACGCCTCCCCGGGGAGCCAGCCCGCTCCTGCCGTGGCGGGTCGCAGACCCCCGGCTCGTGATGTCACCTAATTACTATAGAAACGGCCGTGACATCACGCGCCGTGGGAGCGGGAGGAGGCAGCGGGGCGGGAGGGCCGCCCTTCCCTTCCCGCACCTTCCCTTCCCTTCCCGCACCTTCCCTTCCCTCTCACCGCGCTCGGCGCTGCGCCGCAGCCGGGCTCGTTCCCACGCCACCCCGCGCGCCCCATTCATAAACTCCGCCCCCCCTCCCCCCCAGCTTCTCCCCCGAGCGCGCGCGCGCTCGAGCGCCAGCTCGCGCGCGCCCCCCGCCATTCACACCGCGCGGCCCGCGCCATTCATAAACACCGCCCCCGCCCCAGGCCCGGGCCCCAGCCACGCTGCGCCCCGCCGCCAAGCCCCCACGTACCCGGCCGGGGCGCCGCAGCCTCAGCGGCAGCGGGGCAAGCCGGGAGCGGCGCCGGGGATGGCGCGGCGCCTCTCCGAGCCCGGGCACCGTGCTGCCGCTCTGCGCCGGCCCGCAGCCCCCGAGCCAGCGGCCTCCGCCGCGCCCCGCCCCGCGCCGCTTGTTTACCCTCCGCGCTGGCCAATGGGATGCCGCCACTCTGCCGCCTGCGCCGTCTGATTGGCTGCAGGGTCGCTCCGCGCCCGCCCGCGCGCCGCTCCGCCGAGCACCATTGACACCGGCTGAGAGGGCGGGGGCGGAGGCGACCAATGGGCGAGCCGGGATTTGCCTGGCTCCGCCCGGAACGTTTTTCATTCATAAAAAAATAGAAGGGGGAAAAGACTGACGGGTGGGGCCGGGGCAGCGCAGGATTTAAAGGGGCCGCGGCCCTTTGCAGGAGCAGGGATGGGGGTTTGACGGGCGGCCTTGGGGCGGGGTAGGGAACAACCCTCGGATCCGAGTCCAGGGTGGCGAGCAAGGACCGGGTCTACGCACGACGTGCTCAAGAACCTGCCACACAGCAAGCCGTGCGGATCATACGGACCTTGGGCCTCACAGGCCGTGGGGTCCCCTCTGCTTTCTTGCGAGGTGGTTTCACACAGGCAGGGCAGCGTAACACGAGACCCCCTGCAAGCCCAGGGTTAACCCGTCCCTGAGTACTGATTTTGGCAGCCTTCCCCTGCAGGCACCCTGGAGCCAGGGTTGCCTTTAAAAAGGGGAATGGGAAAAATAGTTCCCACCTACAAGGGCTTTGGGGCCACATATCCCTCCAAGCAGATTCATGCACGCACACCCTTGGACACCAAACATCCCAGAGGTTTGGGAATGAATTTAGGGCACAATGGTGCTGCTGGGTGCCTGCCAGGCTCCCCAACTGCTTCATTTCCCTGCTAAGTGCCTCAGTTTCCCTACCTGTAACAAAGTGGTGAGACCTGCCATGGGGACCTGGCAGTGGCTGCTCAGGGAGGACACAGCACTGAGGACACACACAAAACAAATGGGCTGTGTGGAGGCCTCACATTGTTGTGGAGAGACACTAGGAAGTTATTGCCGGGAAGGCAAAAACAAGGTGTTTGGTTATATACTGCACATCTCAGTTCAGGAAGGAGAGGAACCTTCTGCTTGGATCCTGGGAAGCTGCCCAGGGATTAGGAAGCCTGTCGGTACAGAGATGTCCTGGCCAGCTTGAAATCCTCAGGTTTGTCAGTTTCCTAGGCGAGCTGCCCAGCATGTCTTTGGGCTGCTGGTATGAACTCCTCTGTCCATGCTAGGTTCCTAAGGAGCTGTCAGAGTCCTCCAGGACCACCTCCACCCCCAGGGCATGGCAGGTAGCTCATCTGGATCGTGTCCCGGGTGGAATGATGGGGGGGGCCGGGATACCCCTCGTGCTGGGGGCAGGAAGCACAGGGGGCACGGGGTGTCCTTGCTGCTCAAAGCCCGGAGGGCTCTGCGGGTACTCGTGCTCTCACTTCCCCTCTGCACAAAGGCAGCCGGGATTAAATCACCGCAGGTAAAATTAGCAGGTGACACATGGGCGGGTGGGTGCAAAACGCGGGCCGGGGAGCACAGCGGACGGGGGGGATGGGGGGGGTCACTGCAGAGCTGGGGGGGCACAATGGACAACCAGGGTCAGCTGCAGGTCTGCACCGTCTGGGGGCTGCTCAGCACCCCGGGGACACAGAGAGGTGATGAGGCTCAGTGTGGCCACAGGACAGGCTGCTGGGAGATGACAGGAAGAACCAAAACCCCTGGAGAGCCAGGGCTGGGAGGGGGAGACGGTGACCGGTGCCTGCTAAATTTAGACCTCACTGATGAAAAAAACAAAAAGAAAGAGAGAAAAAAAAAATAAAAAATGCAGGCTCCAAATTTAGCCTGATGCAGCTCCCACTGAACACCGCTCCATTGTGCTGCTGCTGCCAGCACCCCTTCAGCCCCAGCATCCTGGAGTGGGCACCACCTCTTTTAGTCCTCATGGGTGGGGATGCCACACGTGGCCAAGAATCACCCCCATGCACCCCAGGAGTTAATTAGCATCTTTATTGGAGGCAAGCTCACGGCGGTCCAGGTGTACACGGCAACACGTGCTACGCTACGGACACCATTCCATGCAGGCAACCACAGCTACACACACAGAGGGAGGAGCGGGCTGAGGCTCCCATGGGCACTGGGATTCCCCAGCTTTCAGGGGTCCAGTGCCTAAGGGCTTGTTTGGGGATTTGGTTCCATCCCACGCACTTGGGATGAACTGGGAGACACTGGGGAATGAGGGGGATCAAGGCCTTGAGTGCCCCTCAGCTGCATGGCTTATTCCTGCCTGGAGCCAGGGACAGCTGGGCTGAAGTCCCAGCTTCTGTGGGTCCCTCTTGGGCTCGGAACCTTTGCACCATCAGACAAAGGAGGTCAGGAGCTGGCAGGCCTGTTGAACCATGCCTTTGGCAGTGTGGGAGCAGATTGGAGCTGGGTCCCCTGGCACAGGTGGCAGAGATCATCCCCCTGGCCATCAGTCTGGGTTGGACCCTGGCAGCATGGTGCTGGTCCATCACTATCCCACTGGCCCAGAGCAGTGGCCCTGGGCTCCCTGTGCCCTGCAGGACGTGGCTGAGTGTTCACCCCTGGATTTCAGCTGCTCTGGCACTGCCAGACCCAAAGATGCAGGCACAGACACAATGCCCTCCTCCTCCCCTGGCTCCACCACCACTGACAGCAAACCACAGCAGAGACCCCAGTGCTGCTCTTTGCCCAGAGCTCAGCAAACTGTGACGGGGGCAAGGAGCAGGAAAACCACTGCTGATCCCATGCAGGCTCTGAGATAAAACCCTGGGTTGAGGCTGAGTGGGCAGGGAAATGGAACCAAACCTGTTCACCTCGTGTGCTGCCATCCCACGGAACAAACCTGTCACCCTCCTGCTGGCAAAGCTCTGGAGATGGCAGAGGTGGTTTTTCCACCCTCCCTGAGTGTGGGGCTGTGAGGCACTGCTGCCATTGGCAATGAACTGGGGAAATTGAGGCAGCTGGTTCATGGGACCTGGGGTTTGTTGGGGGACACCTTAGGGGACAAGAGGAGGAGGAGGAGGAAGAGGAGGAGGAGGAGTGTGGATTTATGCCCTGCTGGTGGTGCGTGCCTGTGTACACAGGTCACAAACAGTTCCCTTCCAGCTCACTGTTCACTCTGGAACAGTGATGGCAGCACCCTCTGCCAGGGGAATGCTATTGAATGGAGACCTGCAGCATCAGGAGGGACTGGATGGGCTCTGGGAAACTGGGGAGGAAAGGGCGACTTGTCCCAGCCCTGTGGCAAGGACACAGTGGGCAAGCAACAGTTTCCCTGCCTGTGGTGACATCCATGGGGCACATCCCACTCCCAGTCTGCTCCCAGCAGCAGAGGAGCCTCCACTAGCCCCAAGGGAGCTGCCTGGGAGCGGGGGGCTGATTCAGGGTGTGGTGGTATCCTGCATGCAGGCCCACTGCTGGAGGCAGGGGGTGACTGCAGAAGCAACCAGCAGTGCTTCCCATGGGCCAGTCTTGCCAACTCCTGGCTCCTGGGAATACATTCAGACCATCAGAAACTCCATGCATTCATCTGTTTTCTGGTCCCTGTGCATTCTGGAGAGAAGCTGCATCCCCCCCATATGTCCATCCATGCCACCAAAACCTGTGCATCCCCGTGGGCTCCAGCAGCCATGCAGACAACAGATTCTGTGAGGCTCCTTGGATTTGGAGAGGGTTGTGGGGAGAGCTGGCCATACAGAAACCGAGGTGCAGTCACTCCCTGTAGCCCAGGAGCGTCAGAGGCAGCAGCTATCACACAGGGAGAGCACCAGCCTGGCAGAGCACCTCAGGAGATGTGTAAAATTGCTGGGGACACTTCCAAGTGAGAAAAGCTTCTGGATGTCTGTCCCCAGGGTCTCCAGCCCCCAGCACAGGCTGGCAGGCTTTAGGAGAGAGGAAAAGTCCATGTGGAAGGAGGTGTCATGGAAGACAGCCAGCAGAGAAGGGAGGTGATGTCTGTGTCCAACCTGGGCTCTTAAAAAGGTGACCTCCAGAGTCCCTTTTTTGTCTAAAGTTTGCTAAATAAATACATAAATATGAACACAAAGCCCAGAGCTTGGGCTGCTCCCCCCAAAATCCCTTTTTTTTTCCCCCTTTCCCTGTAAAAACACAGTCTCCTCCCATCCACCCCACGCTTGTCCCTGTGCACTGTCTGTCCCCAGACTGTCCCACACCTCGTGGCTCACTGGGCTGGCAGCAGTGGTTCTTTGCATCTCTCTTGAACCTCACAGTACAGAGGTGAGTGGCTGAGATGGCTTCTCTAGGCTAAGGAAATAAATAATTGCTCCCATTGCAAGGATTGGGGGACAGAAAACCAGTGCAGTGAGTCATCAAGTGGTCTTCAAGGGAATGATAAATAAATAAGTGGAGCTTAGCGCTGCCTCAGGAGCACATTCACTGGCACCTTGGCTGGAGGGTATTTAAATAAAGGGGGAAAAAAATTCCCAGTCCTAGTGCTGCTCCAGCAAATGTGCTCACGGCATGCCAGCCTCCCTTCTCCCCCTTCTTCCATCCCAACTTGAGAGGATGCTTCTGGTGATCAGGAAGGAGCCTGCAAGACCTTCCCAGGATAAATAATCCCCACTGGGCATGGAGGGGGAGGGAGTTTGTGTCCCCACCACAGGATGGGGATTTGGGGACCCCTGCATCAGGCAGGTGGCTGGGATGCTGAGTGCCTCCAGGTTGTGGATCCTGGGATGATGCTTTAATCCCGAGCTCGGTTTCTCCTCCTCAGGAAAAAGAAGCTGCTCTTCTGGGGGGGCCCCAGCAGCATGGGCACCTGGCTTTTATGTGTAATTTTGACCTAAAAAGAAGTAGAAGAACCCAGCTAAGTAAGAGGGTCCTGAGCCCTCCCAGGCACCCTCCAGCCCCAGGACCCTCAGGAGTGACCCCGTGGAGCTGGGAGCACCAGGGTGAAGAGCTCTGGAATCATGGCCAGGTAGTGCTGGGATGGGAAGAGGATTTCTCCTTTGTGCAAGAGGAGAAATGGCAGGAGACTCTCCTGCAGCTCCCCCTGGGGGAATGCTGCCATGCCCACCCATCAAGAAATGGGCATGTCATGACTCCAGGGCCCTCACAGGCACAGAGGCACAGCTGGTGGGGCTCTGTGGCCACCCACCAGCGAGCACAGCTCCTCCTTTGCCACCAGGAGCCAAGGCTGTCCCACCCTGCTGTGCTGCCAGCCCCTGCTGCCCCATCCCGACATCCTGCCAGCCCCAGCCCAGCTTCCTGCCCCCTCCCTGGGCACTCACGGTGCAGGATGGTTGCATCCAGGGTTCCCCATCCACCTGCATGGGCAGCAGCTTGGACGTCCTGCAAGGCACGGAGAAGAGAAGGTGACACAGGTGTCAGGTTTTGCTGCTGGTCGGGCACTCAGCTGTGAAGGGGACAAATACCTGATGATGACAGAGGAACACTGGGCCAGTCTCTTCCCTGCACTCTTCAGCCCCGTGTAGATCTGCCCCATTTCCATGGCGCCTTCCAGCCCCACCACCTCCAGGAGATGGTCGCTGAGGTCTGCAAGAGAGAGGGATCTGAGCTGGTCCCCCATCCCCCTGCCTTCTGCTCCCATTTGAAACCTCAGGGTCAGCACACAGGGCTGCTGTCTGTCCTGAGCAGATTTATCCAGAGGGGATTTATCCTGGTGTCCCAAGACCACCAAGCTGTGTGTTTCCAGCGCTGGGCAATGCTGCTATCCAAGGAGCAAAAGTACTTCTGGTCTGAAACAGCACCTACACGGTGCCAGCAGCAGATCCCCACCAGCCCTTGGACTGTTTGTTTGCAGTGTATGAAATGATGACACCCCTTGCCTGGGACCCTGGCGTGCTGCAGCTCCCCAGAGGCCAGCACATGTGGCAGAATATCTGGTCAAATCCCAGGGTATTGCCTTTTTCACAGCACATCCTGCTCTTCTGGGCCACCAGCGAGGACACCTGACAATGGCACAGCTCTCTGCTTCAGGGTCCCCTCTCACATACACCCCCTGCTACCTCTGAGAAATCCTCTGAGCCTCCCATGCCCTCTTACCCCTCTTACCACGAGTGGGGATGTCCCCAGGGTACCAACCCTGCTGTCCCCTGCAGCCCCTTTGGGACTGCCTGGCACTCCAGCCCTCTCCCCACTGCCTGCTGCCACGGGCTCACACAGCAAGGGACAGATAGTGACAATCTGGGATGTGACACTGCTGTTCTGGCAGCCACATCACAGGGGGCTGATTCCCACCCAGCCCCAGGCCGTGGGAGGTGGTGGGTGAAACACCCAGGCACCCGGCGTATTTTGCTGGCTGCTTTCTACCCCGCTACTCCCCACTGGGGAACGCTGCCAGCACTTTGGGCTGTCCCCACCAGTGGGTGTGAGGTACCAGCTGGGCTCAGCGTGGGTCCTGCTGCTCCCAAACCCCACACCCAGCCTGGCAGCGCTGTGCTGGAGCCTGGGAAGGTCCTTACAAAAGCCCTTGGTGCCAGCTCTGTGGTTGGGTTCCAGCTCTTCCTCTGCCGTACTGTGGGCTCACCCCGGCACACCAAAAGACACAGAGCTGATAACAACCCCTCCAGTGCTGTTGCTTGCAGAGCTGGTGAGTGCCCAGCCCCGTGCTGACCCTGCACTCTCCCATTGCCCTCTGCTCACCCTGCACACAGAACTTCAGCTCCTTGGCGTCGGTGACCACTGTGCCGAGCGGCTTCTCCGGCGCCTTCTTGCCCAGCCGGTTGTACCCACGCTGCTTCTTGGTCTCGCCCCACAGGTTGGAGCCCCCGTACATGCTGGGGATGTTGAGGACGGCGATGCCCTCCAGGGATGTGGTGCTCAGGTCTAGCAGGGTCCCGTCACACTGCCAGGCACAGGGGCGGTGTCAGGGGGGCTGTGCCCACCACACGGAGCTCCCCTCGTCTCCCCACCAAAGCAGTGCGGGTCCCTGAGCACAGAGTGACACTGGATGGTCTCCAGGGGGCACGGGCAGCTCCAGAGTGGCTGGAGATGCAAATACCCTCCCACTTTGCTTTCCCAGAGCTGTTGTCAACTCCTTGGTGCTCCTTGTGCTGCTCTCTCCCCTCTGTTTCCATAGGACTTTTACTACAGGTCCAAAATGGCAGTTTCAAAAAAGCAAATTCCTGGGGGACCACATAAAACCTTGGCTAGACTCTGTGCTGTGACCCAAAAAGGGAGGCAACATCACCTTGACCCTAAAGCAACTTCCACCCAAGGAGCTCCAACACCTGCTTTCCCCTCTGTCCTTATCCAGACTGACTCCAAAGGACTGGAAAGTTTGGCTGCCCAAAAAGTAGCTCAAAGCAGTTTGTCTTCAAGTGCCATTTGGAAACTAGAAATAAGGCTGGAAGGAAGTTAGGGGAAGGTATTAAAGGGAAAAATGTTGGGTTTTGGAGAGCAAACCACAGTGCAGCACACAGAACTGGCATCCCAAGCTTTGCTGTCATGCAGCAGGACTGTCTCAGCTGAAAATTCCCTGTAAAAGTTAAAATATCCATTGCCTGCAGCTTTCCCACAGGATTGAAAGCAACAGCCATGGAAATGGATTTCTTAACTTCAGATCTTCTCACGCTACCCAGACATGGATCTCCTTCCTAAATACATCTGGTGAAAGCAGCCACTTTTCCACCCAACTTGAATTTCTATATAGCATTCCTATTTTCCTTGAGGCATCTGCTCTTTACTTGCCACTCTGTGCTTCAGCAAATCCCAGCACAGCCTTTTCCTTGCATTTTGGTGATGCAAAAGCATCTCTGCCCTCGCTTCTTGTGCTGAGAGGAATGAAATGGGCTAATAAGCCCCTTCTGTTGCTCCAGTTCTGGTTGTTTTCCTTTAACAAAGGTCTAGAGCTTGTTTTTACCCCCCCCCACCTCGGTCTGTGCTGAGGACACCAAGCCCGGATATGCGGAGCTGGGCGCTCACACGAGCGAACGCCTCAGTGTGTCAGATCCTTTCTGCCTCCCTGGTGCTGCGAGATCTTATTTTTAGCCTCACATTGAAAGCAAAAAAGCAGGAATCTTCTGGTTTGGGAGGGAAGAGCTGTCTCTCCAAGGCTTGGAAAGGATGTTAATCCTTTCGTTCTCAATACGCCTTAATGATATTGTGATTTGTGGGGAGAGAAAAGACCTTAATGCTCTGAGCAGTGATACCAAGCCAGAGGGCTCTGATTCCTTGTGGGATGGACAACACACCTCAAGCATCATCCCCAACACAGGCACCTTTCCCACCTGCCAGCGAGGCAGTGGGTGCCAAGCCAGCCACGGTGGGATGGGAGTGAGCTGGCTGCCAGGAGTGCAGGATGCTGGGATGCTGCAGGAGCCCGTTCCTGCCCACAGCCGCCCACGCCTGCCCACAGCCGCGGGCAGGAGCCATTCTCCCCCCAGAGCCCTCCCCAGTCCATGCCAGGGAGCTACAATGGGCCCTTTGAGCAGGGGCAGCTGACAGCGTGCTGGCAGAGAGGCTGGAAGGAGAAATTTGCAGCTGGGGGAAAAAGCAAATTCATTTCCAGGAGTTGTAAGGGGAACGAGTGCCAATTTCCAAAACAAAACTGCTATTTCTCTGCAAGGCTGACAGTTGCCTGGGAGCTGGAGGGACGACAGGCGGCTGCTTTCAACTTCAAATGCTGCTGGATTAACGCTTTCTTGGCACTGGGCTCAGCTGGTGGGGACACACGCTTGGTGGGGAGCACCCTGAGAAGGAACGGGGGACACCTCATGCCCATCTCCAGCAGCATTCAGTTCCACAAACATGGACTTTTATCCACCCTGGGACACTGCTGCACCGATGGGGAAGGAGGTGAGATGGTTGTGATGCTGGTCCTGCCCCTTCCCACAAGTTTCCAAGGGTGCAGCTACCCACTCCAACCTTTGGGAAGGGAAGAAACTCCCTGTATAGAAACAGGAATCAAAATCCCTCTGCAGGGCCAGCTCTGCTCCCTGCCCAGCACCAGCACCCTGCACCCACCACCTGCTCCGACTCCCACCACCTCTTGCAGCAAGTGCTCTTTTCTCCCCTCACCCTCCAGCCTAAGTTATGAAAGGGTGGATTATCCAGAAATAGGGAGAGACGGAAGTTTACAGCCCAAATCCCCAGCGCAGAGAAGTGACAGCGCTCTTAGCAACCACGGGCCCTCCTCCCAGCTCTAATTAAAGGCTGTTTCCATGTCATCCAATGAGGGCAGAATTTACAGGGACAATGTTCCAGGCATGCTCTCAAATGCAGCTGGAGGTGTGGAATACAGGGTTATTCTTCTGCCCACAGCTGGCTGGCTTTGTAGCAAGCGCTGTGTGGTGGAGTAGGGGCCACCATGACCTCCTGCCACCGTGAGGGGTCACAGCCATGTGGTGGCACCCTCTCCCTCAGACAGCTGAGGGATCCATGGGCAGCGGCTCCAGAAAGCCTTTGTGCCATGGCTAGAGCCAGGGACCATCCCAGGAAACCCACCTCAACCTCAACATAGTCATGAAGCTTCTTGCAGGTGGCTGCAAAGGTCTCTGATGTCCCGAACTCGAAGTACCACAGCTTGTTCTTCATCCTGAGGTACAGAGACGTGTCAGTGTCCCCCTTGGACACAGCCTCTTGCCCCAGTCAGCAGCAGGATGGGCTGCCAGAGACTGTCTGGAGCTGCTGTGATGGGGACACGAGACATGGATGAGGCACAAGCCATTGTGGAGAGGGACCATGGGCATCCTGGCCCGAGGGAGCTGTGTGGTGGGACAGGGGCGTGTCTGGGGGTTGGGGGGCTGTCTGCTCAAACAGACCTGGCTCCAACACCCATCAGAGGAGGAGGATGGGGGTGCTGGGTGCTCCCCAGGCATGGGATGAGCTGTAAAGAGACAGGGCACCCTATGGAGGCGATGTTTCACACCTCAGCAGCCTCCCAGCACCCTGCTAAGCAGCCCCTGACCACAGCACATTCCCTGCATCAGCTGCTGAGCCAGGCTTTGAGGGGGAGCTGTAAGCTGTGAGAGGCTGGAAGCCAAGAGGAGCTGAGCTTGAGGGCAGAGCCAGACACTCTGGCCCACTCAGGGATTTTTCTAGCAGGTATTTCTAAACCTGGGGATGAGGGTCACAGGCCACAGCTCCTGCTGCCATTTCCATTCATCCTGAGCACAGTGGGAACGAGCTGCGACCTGCTGTCTGCCCTGCCCTCCCTGCCTGGCCTGCTCCTGCCCGTCCTGGAATTCCATACTAATTATAAAGCATGAATGAACCTAACTGGGTGTGTGGCCAAGTTGGAGCAGCCTGACGCACCACATGGGACTTGAAGAAGCCTCCCAAATCCCCACCATACCTGGTCCTGGACCCCCACCACACCAGGTTTGTGCCCTGCCTGTCCCCTAAGGTTGGCCAAACACCAAACCCTCCTGGTGTGATGCACAGCAGTGGCAGGGAGTCCCCCACACCCAGTTCTTGGGGGGCCCTTGGGAAGCCCTCACCTGCTGTTGAATTTCTCAGGGTGTTTTTCTCGCATGATGTGAAAGCGGTGGGCGATGGAGGCGTCCTGTGGGGGGCACAGAGACATCAGTGGCACAGCAGAGAAATAGAATCCCCACCTTGTGCCCCCTGTGCCCCGTGACGTGCTCTTCATGCTCGTCCCTGTGGCACAATTACACGTTGGTGTCATTGATGATGACATTGACAGGTCCAAGGTGATGGAGGGACCCTCAGACAGGCTCTTCCCAAAGCTTGTTAGGTGAGACATAATTAGTGCACTTGGCTTCCTTCCCTCAGCACAGGGGCTCTGCATGGAGGGGATGATGAGAGGGGAGGAAAGGCAACCAGTGGAGCAGTGGGGTTCTGGGGACACCCCAAGACCCTGCACCCTGACAGCTCCCCTGGCAGGATGGCAGCTCTCCTGAAACTCAACACAACCTCTGCTTATGCAGAGTGGGGGTTTTTAAGCCCAACTTAGAAGCTGTCACCAAATGCCACCTGCATTAGCAGGAGCCTCTGTGAACCCAGAAGCATCCTGCAGTGCTGCAGGTGAGTGACCCGTGCCATGGTGGCACCCCTGGCACAGAACAAAAATGCTGTGAGCTCCTGGGAAGAGAAGGGCTTTCCCCAAAACACTCCTGCTCTCAGGACTGACCCCCAGCACTGGGAGAAACCCCCATGGCACAGGGCTGTCACCCTCCCCAAGCTCCCTAACCTCTCTAGGCCAGGAAAATATGGGGGAACATGGGTCCAAACACCAAAGCAAGGCTTTGCTGATGTCTTGGCAGGTGGGGTGTCCTTGTCTTTGGGATCCCAAACTTCCCTGAATTCTGTTCAAGCTCCTTTCACACTCGCTCTTGCAACATTCCCAATGGGAAGATAGAGATCTCATGCCTGCTTATGTACCTTGGTGCTGCCTTTACAAATGACAATAAAACCAGAAAAAAAAAGTCCAGGAGATGGAGGGAGGTTGGGAGTGTGAGCAAGGAGGAACAGGAAGGGAGAAACCAACTCCTGCCCCATGGGACTCACCACCCCAATGGAGAAGTAGTTGTTGATGATAGTGGATGGGATGGGATCTCCATTGGCCTCCCTGTCAGTAGGGATGATGTCTATGTGCCAGCGGTCCAGCATCACCTCTGTGCTGTGCTCTATGTCCTTCAGCACCTTCATCAGGTTGCCTCCTTCATAGCCTAGAAGGGAAAGAGGATGAAAGAGGACCAAGGGGAGCACAGCCATATCATAGCCAGGTGCCAAGCCCTTGGGGGCTGCAGCTATGGCACATTCTTACAGCAGTGACAGAGATTTTGGCTAATGGCAGGGCTCTCCAAATGGAAAAGCTTGGGCAGGACTTGGCTGTAGAGAAAAAGCAGTGGCTGCTCTTTTTGGAAGGAGTTAAGAGTTAGAGTTTTAGGAAGGAGTTAGAGGTGCTTGAGCTCTGAACTGCACCCCAGGAGTCCTCCCTGCCCTGGGGGTGGTCACACTGAAGGGTTCCCAAGGCCAGCCAGCCCCTGGGCGATGTTGCCTGTCCTCACCTCCTCCCCAGCGCAGGCACCGTGCGAGGTCATTGCCCGTTCCCAGGGGCAGGATGGCCACCGGTGGGTGCTTCACCAGGTTTGCCTTATCTGCAGTTCAAGGGAGAAGAGAAGTTTGGGGCTGATAAGGCTCATTCCCTGCTCCTCTCCATGTCCCTCCTCAACCAGCAGCCCGGAATGATGCTGCTGGCAGGATCACCACCCCACTGTCACTGGGGGGATATGGGGAATCTCTGGCAGATCACCAAGGATGAAGGTGGATGATGCTCTGCAGGAACACAGCTGTCCCTTGCTCACCTATGCAGTCCAGGATCCAACCCACCGTGCCGTCCCCTCCGCAGGCCAGCACACGGAAATCTGGAGTGTCCCTAAAGAAGTTCAGCCTGGAGAAAGCCAGGAGGGACAAGGGGTGACGTGGGACAGCAGGGCCCGGTGGGAAGGGGCAGAGGATCACCCGCAGCAACTCCATACCCTGGCGTGGGCCCGCCGCGGTCCAGGCTGTACACTTGGCGTGGGTTGAGCAGGTAGTGAAACTTCCGCAGGACCCTGGGAAGAGACAGACTTGAGGAATGCCATGAAGGTGATTCCCACACCAGGAGTGATGCCTGAGGGACCAGCAGCCCCCAGCCCCAGGAGAAGCTGTTCCCAGGCAGGACCCCACCTACCTCTCCCCTTGCCTTCCTCCACTCTTGGGGTTCACAAACACGAGGAGTGGGTGTGTCCCGGGCTGAGGGCTGATCTGCAGGGCAGAAAACGCAGCTGTGAATTCCTGCCTGCTGCTGAGGTCAGTGGCAGAGGTCACCTGCAGCCCGGTGCAGGAACCTACCTGCAGCACTTGCCCATCCACTGTGGTGGAGTTGAACTTGAAGCCCTGGCTGTCCTCGGGGCTGGTGCTGGCAGGGGAGTCACTCTCCGACCGTCGGCAGTGGGACTGCCTGTCCTTTGGGGAACCAAGGCATGGATGCCCAACACTGCCCAAGAGGCAGTGCCAGCAGCCAGGGGAGGCAGAGCAGCCTCAGGAATGCCCTGCTGGGTCCTTAACACTGGCAGCGAGGAGGGGGACACTTACCAGGACAAGGGGGACACTTACCAGGACAAGAGGGACACTTACCAGGACAAGAGGGACACTTACCAGGACAAGGGGGACACTTACCAGGACAAGAGGGACACTTACCAGGACAAGGGGGACACTTACCAGGACAACTGGGCAGATGTAGGATGGGAGCAAGATGTGGTCCTGCAGTGGGCCCCCATCACACTCTGGCTTCACATGGGAGGCACACTTGTTGTGGAGCTGGAGGGGTGGGAGGAAGGCATGTGGAACAGAGGACACCTGCCCTCTCCTGCTCAGGAGCCCAGAGCTGGCCGTGCAGGTGCTGTGGATGTGCCCCAGCCCCGGTACTCACCGTGACTTGGCACCAGACACAGTGCAGGCCAGTGATGCCCTGGTAGCACTTGATGCTCTTGTGACACCTGTCACACTTGGCAGGTGAATTGCCCTCGATCCAGGTGTGCTGCATCACCTGCAAGGCACGGGGACACTGTGGCACAGCACCCACTCACCCGCAGGCATCTCCCTCCTGCCAAGGGTGTCCATCAGGATTTTGGAAGCTTGTCCTGCAGGGATGCTGCTGATCCAATCCAGCCCTTTGCAGAGCCCCTGCGCAGAGCTACAGCAAATCTTGGAGCTGGGGGTTATGTGGGTGCCTGGGGACTGCGGATGGGTTGCATCCTACAAGGCTTTGGATGCTGGGAATGCCCATGAGCTGCTGCCCAGGATGTGAGGGGTAAAACTCAAAGGAAGATGCTGTAGGGAAGCAGAGCAGGAGACCAAGGGGCCTGGACACCCACTGGCTCAGAAATGCACCAGCTGCCTACTCACACTTGTGTTTCTCTTGGATTTGACATAGGTGCTGATGCAGGAAGCAATGTCTTTGGACACACACCTCTCATGGACCGTGTACTTGCAGACTGGTGAGAGAGAAAAACCATAGAGCCACAGAATCATTTGGGTTTGAAAAGCCCTGTCACACCCTCGAGTCCAGCTGTAACCCCAGCACTACCAGGGCACCACTAACCCAAGTGACACCGAGAAGGGGGCATCACTCCCCAGCATGGGAGCTGCCCCCTCCCCACTCAGCCTGCAGCACCCACAGTGCTCAGCACTAACAGGGACCAGTCCTCCCTCCCCAGGGCACCACTGGACGTGGCAGGAGCCACCAGTATGGGAGTGCAGCATTCTGGCAAGGGTCCAGGACTCACAGGAGCAGCAGAGGCCCTGCTTGCGGACCCCCAGCAGCATGGTGCGGCAGAAGTTGCAGTAGGCGGGTTTCTTGAAATGCTTCAGCCTCCAGGCATGTTGCCCATCATCTTTCACGTTCTGCAAGGAAGGAGAGTGGAGGGTCAGGGGGTCACTCCTCTGCTGCCAAGAGTCCCCTCAGCCCATCATTTCTATCAACTTTTCATCCCCTAAAAACCCCATGGTGTTTCTGGGACTTTGCTCCCGGCAGGATCATGGGCTCCCCCTCCTCCCCTTCTCCCTTGGTGCTCCCCAGAGCATCCCTGCCACCTCATCCCCCTGGCCATGTCCAGCTCCACCTCCCACGGACCCTTTGCACCGCCCAGCCATAGAGAGGATCTTGGCAGCTGACAGCAAGGTGACTCCACATTTGGGGCCGCCACTGCCACCATGGGGTGACAAAAGCACAAACATCTTCATCTGGGGCCAAGCATGAGTGCTTTGCAGGAGCCAGTTAAAATTCCCTGCTTTCTTGATTTTTTTTTTTTCTGCCAGAAAGCCTGTCCCCCACCCCACCTCTGCCAGGGAACCATGGTTACCATAAGCAAAACCATCTTTCCTTGCAAATTATTACCTGATGGCCAGGGATGCACTTAAAAGAAAGGAAGGCCAAAAGGATTAAAAAACAAGACAGAGAAAAAAAGGGGGTCCCAACAAGCTCACCTTTGCTCTTTAAACCTCACTCTACAAGAGGGGATGCCATTTTAGGTACTCAGGTTTTGATTAAATGTTCATGGAACTGGGGTGTGCTGCGATAGCAAGGGGCAAGCCCAGCCTGCTTGGGCACAGCAGCTGGCAGAGTGACTGCAGCTCAAAAATGAGCTTGGAAATGTTTGGGGGGGTGAAGGGGGCAGGGTGGAGATGTCAGCAGGGGCTGGGGGCCAGTGTGGGGCTGTGTGGTGCCATAGGAGTGCGTGGTCTGGTGGATAGGCTGGAGCAGGTGCCTGCAGGGACACTCACTGTCTCCATCCCCAGAAGGACCAGCAAGGGGATGGTGGTCATGCCACCCCGGATCCACTCCTCCAGCGTCACAGTCCCATCGTGGTTGTAATCGATCTCCTCCATCATAGCCTTCAAGATCTGGGGGAGGGACAAAATGTGGTGACACAGAGGTGCCAGCCAGGGCTCTGGCTGAGAGCCCCTGCAGCTGCCCCAGCTGCCTCCAGCCCCAGCACTCACAGGCTTCAGCTCAGTGGAGTCCCACTCCAGGTACTCGGCCACGTGCACCATCTGGTTGATGATTCGATCCAGCTCCTAAGCACAAAGCAGTGGCCGATGTCAGAGACAGCTCCAGGCACGAGCAGAGTGCACAGCCCCAAAACCCCAAGGTCTACGTTCCCAAGTGCCTACGGCTACCCCAGTCCCTACCCACATGGGAACACCCCAGTCCTCAATGGGTGCTCCTTCTTTTGTCAGGCAAAAAGAAAATCTGAATTTCTACCCTGAAAATCTGCAAGAAAATCTGTAAGGGGTTTTCCTTGGGAAAAATTATTCTGATAGACCAGATTTTATTTGCAATGGGTTTCAAGGGCAATACCCAAAGAACAAAGAGAAAACGTCAATAGGAGAAGGAGCTGTGCACGATTTCTTTTCTTCCCTGAAATACCATGACCTGATACAGAGCTACAATTCTTGGTGGGTGGATTTTTTTCTTGCTCCTGCAGGATGCATGTGATCCCCAACTCTGCAATCCAGCTGCTGCTTTCCTCCTCCCTTCCCATATCCCTGCCCCTTTTTGGAGCACCTCACCAGGGCAGTGGGCACCCTAACAGTGTTTCCAGCCCTCTGAGCACCCCCTGATTTCTGTCCCGAGGGGAGGCTCACCGAGCTGTCAAGAAGGCCATTTCCATCGGTGTCATAGAGGCGAAACATAACTGGAGGGAAGAGAGAAGCTGCTGATAATTAGGGCCCAGCCCCAGGGCACCCTGGGGTGCTCCAGGCTGCTGGAGCTTCAGGGTGGGAGCGGCACTGTGCTGGCTCAGCCAGGGTGAGATGTGACCCCAGGACTGTGGAGTATCAAGGCCCCTTGGCCAGACACAGGCAGGAGCAGAAGGGGAAGAGGGGTGATTTTCCCAAGGAGCATCCAGCCCTGCACTCAGGCAAAGCCCCCTGAGCCCCTGGTCCCCCTCTCCACACAGCATTGGCCCCAGGGTCACACTTACACTCCAGCTTGTCTTCTGCTCGTCCCCTCTCCAGCAGGGACAGGTAGCAGACAATGTCCTTCAGGTGCACCACCTGGGCCAAGGGGGTGGGAGGAGGAGGTGGGGTGGCTTTCAGGGAGCTGGGGCCTTTCCGCAGGCTGAAGGGTAACCTCTTCTCCACGCCCCTCGTGCCTGTGGGCAGGGAGAGACCACACACAGGGATGACTTTGGACCAGGAATTGTTACCAGGTGGGACATGGGAACTCTGGGGCAGGGACCCATCCGGCGTGGGACCGAGTGACACCTCAGGGCCAGGGCTGGGACCCAGAAGGGACACAGGAATGGGCATTAAAAGGGCACTTGGGGCTGGAGGCATGAAGCAGATGTGGGGCTGGTGCCATCACAGGACACTGAGGCCACTCAGTCCTCGGGGTGCAGACTCCCTCCATCACTGCAGCTATGGGCGGGGTGAGCAGTAGGAGCCCACAGAATCGTGTCCTGCTGGGAACAAGCACCGACCCAGAAGGAGGGAGAAGCCCAGTGGGCAGCAAGGCAGCTTGCCAGGCTGCCAGGACAGCCCATGCTCGCTGATGGCCGTGCTAATAGCAGGAGGGATGGTCCTGGCAGAGGGGCCCTTCCTCGGGGGCTGGCACAGCCGTGACTCATGGGCCCATTTCCCCCTCCCTACAAAATGCTGCCAGGTAATTAAGACATTGACTGATGGGGGCTCTGTGGGATGGGATCGGTAGCTTCAGTTTGGCCAAGCAAAGGTGTCGAGATGCCAGGAACCCAGCAAGTTTGGGAGGTCACTGCCACCACGCTGGGGACCTGAGCAGAAACTGGGAGGACTTGTCACTGCCTGTGTCTCCCTGTGGAGCCCCAGCCAAGCTCACCTGGTGACTGAGGGCTGAGCAGAGACCCAGAGGAGACCTTGGAAGAGCCTGAGGAGTTGTGAGCAGAGGTGGTGCCAGTGGTGGATTTCTGGGAGGATGATCTGGACCAGCTGGGGGAGGCATTGGGGATCGATGCCAGGGTGAGGGATGCTGGCTGTGGCTCAGCTGTGTTGCTGTGGCCGCTCTTGGGCTCCAGGGTGTGTCGTCCCAGAGCACTCCGAAGGGTTTTCCCATTGATCCCTGCAAAGCAGACGTGCCCAAGGGCAGCGTCACACAAGGGTGTGCCTGTGCCCCTTCCTCCAGGAAGTTCCTCCAGGAACTGGGGCTGGGTGCTTGCCCTGGGTCTCCTCTGCTAGCCCCACGCCTCTCTACTCTGGCATCCAGCCCCAGGGCTCCCTGAGGGGCATCACACCCTCCTGCCTGGCCCAGGAGCTCCCAGCAGTGCTCACACCCCTGGATGATGGACACCACAGTGCTCAGGACCAGACAGGGAGGATGTGGTCCTTCATCAGCAGCCAGAGCTGGAGGAGGTTCTCCCTTTCCCTTTGCAATTTATAGTCCTTTCAGCAGATGTCTCCACAAGCCATGAATCCACCCAGGAAGGGCTGGGGGAGGCAGACTTGGGTGCCTGGCACACACAGCCTGCTCTGGGTGCAGCTGAGTGCTTACACCAGTACCTGTGACAGAGGCACAGGCCACCTCAGCCTGCCTGGAGCTGCTGCCACAGAGTGACTCTGGCTAAAGGGCATCTGCCACTGCATCCCGGAGAAATCCCTGCCTGGAGCAGCACAGGGCTTGGGAACCCATCTGACAAATGGGTGGCCCCGATGCCACCCCCTCCAGGTGCCACCCCCCACCCTTCACTCCTGTGAGCAGCGTGGGAGCAAGCCCATGGTGCCACACTCCCGTGGCGTGCCTGGCTGGGTGGCAGGGCTGGCTCACCGAGGGTGCTGTGCTGTGCCACACTGGGGCTCTGGTGCTGGCTCTCAGGGGAGGCTTGGCATATCTTACGCTTGAAGGAAGTGAAGAGGTGCTGGCAAAGCTCCTCGGGCACATCTGCCTCCAGGTAGGTCTTCATGAAGAGGCAGAAGCCCTCGTAGTCGATGGGCTGGGGAGAGGACAGAGGAGAAGGAGGAGGAGGATGGAGGTGCCCCAGGCCACCATGAGTGTTCATGCCCTGGGCCCCCCTCACTGGGTACATCAGCTGCAGAGCCCTCCCCAAAACCAAATCCCAATGGCTGGAGGTAACCTAAAGGGACCCAGAGGCAGCAGGGCCAGAAATCCCCAGGGCCAGTGAGGCTGAGCCAGGTGAGCAGTGCAGGGACAGCAGCTGGGGGAGCAGCAGGAAAGGGCAGAGCAGTGGGACCTTCCAGCCCAGCCTCAGCCCTATGGGGACTATCTTCCTCCTGAGGACTCTGTGACTCCTCCTTCCCTGCTGGGCATTGTCACTGTGTGAGGACAACATCTTCTCAATGGCTTTTGTGGCCCCAGCTGGAGTGAGGGTGCTGTGGTGCCCTGGAATAACAGGGTACCTTCGAGCCTCTCCTTGCTGTGTTCAGCCCATTGATTTTTCTCATTTTGCCTTGATTCTACTGATTACAGCCCCCATGGAAAGGCTCTGTCCTGCTGGCACACTAATAGATGCCTCTGGAAGCACCGCTTGGAAAATATAATCCCAGCCTTCTTTGGAGGAGAGTGAGAGGGCACAGAGCTGTCCCATCCCCATGCTGGCCAAGTCATTTGCTTTTAGGGGGAGAGTAAATTGCTCCCAGATTCTGCCTGGCAAGGCAATGCCCCAAAAAGCTCTCAGCAGGACGAGGTGGGATGGCCATGCGGTGGGCACGGGCCGGGGATGGCCGGGGAATCAAGTCCTGGGAGCAAAACCATGGGGAGAGATGGGGGCCAGGCAGGCAGCCCTGCCTTCTTCTGGCTGCTTCCAGCTGGGGGAGCTGGGCTGGGGGAGCCTGCAGGGGGCTGGCAGCAGCACAGAGGGACAGTGGTGGGCACAGGGCCGTACCTGTTCGGGGTTGTACCTCGAGAGGACGCCGTCCCCATTGAACTCCTCCAGAACATCCTTGAGCTTCTTGGTGGAGTCTGGGGAGACAAAGGTGCCCTGTTGAGCATGGCCCCACCAGGCTGCCCTCATCATCCACCAGCAGGATGGTGCAGAGGGGTTTATCTGCTGGATATACAGTTTCTGGATCCTTCTGTGCCTGGAAGAGGTCACCCACGCCCTGCTTCCCCTTCCACATTCAGAGGGCAGGGCAGATACGGAAAACTGGCCTGGGAGTTTTACATATATAGAGAACTTCCTCCTACCAGCATGAAAATAAACACAGACCCAGAGCAAAGCAAGGAAAGCATGGAGCACACTCCAGTCCCAGCTGCTCTGGTGTGCTAAGCACACCCCTGCAGGGCCAGCCATCCCAGAGGATGCCTTAGGCTGCCCACTGGTATCTCCAGGAGGTGCCAGGAAGGAGAAATAGAACTGGATTCATAGAATCATGGAATCATTTAGGCTGGAAAAGCTCTCTAAGATCATCAGGTCCAACCATTAACGAGCACAATTGTGTTCACCAGTAAGATAGAAATGTCTCACATCTCCATGGCTTTTAAATACCTCCAGGGATGCTGACTTCACCACTGCCCTGGACAGCCTGTTTCACGTCTTGACTACCCTTTTGGGGGAAGAAATTTGCCTGAATATCCAATCTGAATCTCCCCTAGTGTAGCTTGTGGCCATTCCTTCTTGTCCTATCACTGGATTGGTCCATGCAAACTTCCACACAGGTGGTAAAGACTTTCCCTGGCTGAGAGTCCTTAGGGCTGGAGTGTCTGGAGGGACATTCATCCTTTCAAAATAGATAAAAAAGGGAGAAGCAGAAAGAAAGATCAAGGTGGGTGAACATTCATCCCTCAACTTCACACACATCTCTGGGTGCGTGCATTTAAAAGGTTCTCAGACACAGCAGCCTTGTTAATTACTGTGAAATCCTCTCTCCACGTGGGGGCTGTGCTGGCTCTGATCCCCCCAGCCCTCTCCTGGGGACAGAACTTGGCACTGGACCACAACTGTCTGGGATGTCTGGGGCACTCAAGGAGAGGGATCCTGGCCTTCCTCACAGGATACCCAAATCCTGTTCCCCAGCGAATATCCTACAGGGGAGGAGGCAGCTGCCCAGGCTTCAGCCTTGCTGGCCACACTTTGATTAACGAAACAGAGATGCCATCAGTGTTCTGAGTCCAGCGTTACAGATGGTGTTTTATGGTCTGGGATTCAGGAAAGCAAAGCCCATCATCCTCCAGAGATGAGATACTGCACACACACACCTCTGCCTGCTGCCCTGCCTGAGGTCTCTGGCTGGTGGGGAGGAGCACGACCCCACTGGGGAACATGAGGAACCCCAGCCTCACCCTTTTGATGTACAGTGTCCCTAAGCACGGCCTCAGAGAGCTCACAGTGTCCCCTTTGCCTCTCAGCCACCTCCCATCCAGCCTGCTCACCCCAGGGCTGTGCCAATTCTGCAGAACAGCACCGTACACCCTTTCTCCCTTCTCCCTTCTCCCTTCATCCTGTGGCTTTCCTGCCTCACCCTGCCCTGCCCTCAGCACCTCCATGGGCTGCACCGCTTCTCCATCAACTCCATCAAAAAGCACACCACACTCCAGCTCTCAGGACCTCAAGGACCTGGTTTTAGACCCCTGGCCTTTGCCCAGGCTCTCTCTCCAGCTTCTCCCAGCCCCAGGACCCCTTTGGTGCTGCTGCAAATCTCCTTTTCTCAGCAGGAGCTGCAGCAGAGCATTGCTCTGCAAAAGCACTAAGGAAAATTACTGCAGAGGGCTGGCAGCCCAAAGCACACTGTGGAGCAGCTCCGAGTGTTTGGGAAAAGCCAGTCTGCTTTCCTGGTTGGCATTTCACTCTGCTAAGGAACGTGGGAGCCGGCCGCCTTCAGACGGACTGAGCCGTGCTCACGTGTCCGGCCCCCGGAGCTCAGCTAAATCCTTCTGGGCAGGCAGGCATGGGGACCCCAAACAGCTGGGGTTAGAGGCCAGGGACTTTTCCAGCCTCTCCACCCAAAATCTAAGGAATCACCAGGTTTTCCAGGAGGACACTAAGGAAAGGCAGGACACCAGTCCAGCACAGATCAACAGGACTTTTCAATCTGCTCTTCTGGTCCCAGAAGGGCGCACGGGGTACTCACAGTCCGTGTACTGCTGGAGCTGGGCAAACTCGGCGGGGCTGAGCGAGATCCACGTGCCATCACTCATCTTCAGGCAGCAGGGACGCGGCACCAGCCGCTGCCTCCGTGCCAGGCTCGGTGCCACAGGTCCCAGAGAGCACTCGGTCACGTCGGCACGGCCAGGGCCACCGGGGGCTCTCCCACTGCTGGCATCACACCGCTGAGCCTGTGAGAAGCCAGCCCCAGAGCTTCAGGGCACCTGGTCAGCACCTTTCTCCCTGGAGGGGACAGAAAGAGAGGAGGGGGTCAACAACATGGCCCTGCTGCCATGGGGACATTCACCTTCAGTAGTGGGGGTCTGTGGAAATTTCCCCACTTGGAAATGGGGTGCCAGGGTGCTCTCCCATCCCTGCTCCAGGGAACAGAGTGTGTGGGCTGCAGTGGAACAAAGGAAGAGCACAGGGCACTTCACAGTGTGAACGTTCTCAGGGCTTGGTGTCCCTGGGGAAGCTCCCACAGCCTGGTGGCACCCACAGCTCTCACTGGCCAGAGGATGGGGCTGACAGAGGTCAAGCAAACACCTTGGGCAGGGAAGGGAACTTGTCACCCCCAGCATTTCCCAGGGGAACCCAGCATGGGGAGCAGAAGGAAGAGCACGATTATTTAAAGATCCAAAAACTGAGGCAGGGAATACAAGAGAGTAGAAACTTCCAGCTTACTCCTGCACCTTCAAAGCTGGTGTTTACTTCCAGAGAATCATTGTAAATGAAAATCTGCAGTCAAAACTGGATGCAAGGGGAAAATCTGTGCCACAGAAAAACCCTGACCAAAGGGCCCTCTCCAGCCCACCCATTTATAGGCTTCAAAATGTATTAGATTTTTTCATTTAACTGAATTGGTCATCAAGCAAAGGGCAGCATTTGGAGGAGGTGGTTTTTCTCCAAGAAGTTTGATCTCCATTTTAGGGTTGTTTCCCTGCTAAATGTTGGCTCCCAGTTTCCACCAGGCTGAGCTGATGGACTGGAGAAAGCAGAGCAAGGATGAGCTGGGAGAGATCACGGGACTTGGGATGATGCTTGGGGAGCACCCACATCCCCCAGGCAGCTGCACCTTTCCATTCACAGAAAAACAACTTTGATTAAGATGAACAAGTAATTTTGGGGAGCCATCAGGTCCCATGTGCCACACCAACCCCACCCAGAGTCTCCAGGGACATGCACATATGATGGGGGTGCACCAGGAGCAGTCACTTAACCCCTCATCCTCAGCACTTTGCCCACATTTCTGTACTAATGCTATTTTGGCTTTATGTTCAGCTGCTGAAAATGCTCCAGGGCGAGATGTGGTCCCGGGGGCAAAGCCTGGTGTTGGCAGAGGAAGGAGCAAACCCTCTTTGTGGCTGTGGGGAGGATGGTGACCCCTGAGGAAACAGCACAGGGCTGAGCACCTGCCCAGATGGTTGCCAAAGGGTTTTCCAGCTGCAAAGAGTGACTGCACCCCAAGAGAGGAGCCCAACAAACCCTGGCTATGCATTTGCTAAAGCTGAATGTCACAGCTCTCCTTAGTCCTGTTCAGGCCTTTCCCCCCAGGAGAACAAAGTCACTGGGGTCTTGTTCCACCCCTCCATGGGACTTCTTGGCTGCTTCTGAGTCTGCTTCTGAGGCTGTGGGGCTTGGGGAACCCACAGGACACTGTTCCTGCCCAGGGATTGAGCAATGGCAGTGCCAGGACAGGGAGCCCTGTCCCAGGGCTCTCATGGTGGGCCAACATACAATCCTGGGGAAAATCTCACCTTCCCACCCTCACTGGGGCTCTGCAGCCCCAAGACTACTCATCTCCAGCCTGTGACTATCCCAGCTCATCCCAGCAGCTCTCTGTCCCCATGCCACCAACTGGGGACAGGCTGGAGGCAGCAGTGGTACGGCGAAGGAAGAACTACCCAATGTCTTCCCACACTGGCACTGGTTTTGTGGGGATCTTCATCTTGATGAAAGCACAAGCAAGGACATGGTGTTTGCTCCTATCCTGGATGATGGGTTTGTCCCAAAGTACCCCCTAGGCTGGTCCAGAAGAACTCAGTCTGTAAGAAATTCCCAGGAACACACATAGACTTCGTGTTTCCTGGCAAACAAGCCAGGATCAGATCAGAACCTCTTTTTTATCCTAAACTTATCCAAGGAGAGATTGAAACTACAAAACCAGCTAGAAGAAAAGGCAAAGGGGAGGACTTGTCTGGCTCCAGCTCCCTGAAGGAGTTTGGGGGAACTGAGCCCTCTCACAAGAGGAGAGGGAAACAAAAATATCCCTCATTTCTTTTAATGGCAGGTGACAGGGCAGCACAAAGCACCAAAAGGAAAGCAAAGCAGAGCTAATTGGGCCATCCCAAGGGGCTTTCCCCCAGCAATTGCCGGAATAACACATGCCACTTCTGGCACATCAGCCTCGGATTTCAGGAAGGGCAGGAAAAATCCTCCTCAGGAATCCAGCTGCTCCTTGTTTGGCCGCCCTCTGAATTGTCAGCGGCAAATTATGTTCTATTAAATCAAATTTGCCTCTCGCTAAAAATAGCTCCCTACTAGTGTTACAAATAACACCGGGTTACCCTGCCTGAAGGCGCTCACCGGGACACGGCCCCTCTTCCCCGCCGTGCGCCTGGGCACCGGCCTGGGCACCGGCGTGGCTCAGGGAGGCTGGCAAAGGATAGACACTGGGGGCATCTCGGAGCCTCCCAAACCTTCCTGGGGGGAATAAGCAGTGCTGGAGCTCTTGGGAAGTTGCAGGGAACATGCTGCCAGCCGCAGTGAGGACAGAGGTGCTGCCGGGAGCATCGATGGGTGCAGCTCCGTGGGAGCCAGGGCTGAACCATGTAGGGCCTGAAATGCGCCAAGAAGGGAAATGCCAGGCAGGAGTTAGCCGTGGGCAATGGGAAGCAGAGCCTGGATGTGTGGCAGGATCAAGCCACAGGCAGTGGAATGCGTCAATATCCCTAAGAAAGGGCTGTCCGTGGGCAGTATTCAGGGATGGGGGACTCCTGGAAGCAGCAATGGGATGGCAGAGGAGTTGTTTTTCCAGCCGGACATCCCTGTCAGGACCCAGCTCCTCCATCCTACAGCACAGTGCTCTGGGGGTCACTGTGGGGTTGGGAGGGCTTGTTCCACTGCCACCCAGACCCCCAGGACCACAGCTGATGGGGACCTAAATGTCCACACTGGGGCAGAAAACCAGAGACAAGGGGTTGGCAACTTCCAGGTGCCTCCAGCCTCAACTGGCTTCACAGGAACGCGTGGATGGGGCTGCAGCACATGCCCCGCAGGAGATTTCTGCTTCAGATGCCCTTTGGGAAGGAAAAACATCAACTCTTTGAGCTGCAGGAGGTGGCACGAGGAGGCAACACTCCTGCTGAGTGCACACACACACGTGCAGAGGCTGTGGCTCCCTGGCAGCAGAGGGACACAGCACGGCAGGGTGCTGGGCTCTTCCCTGCATCCCTGCCCGGGCCTGCAGAAGCCACAGTCACGTGCAGCATCTCCTGGGGCAGAAGCATGGGCAGGTCCCTGCAGGAATGGCATTTTCCAGGCCTCCCCCATCATCTTTTGGAAAGATCAGCCTATTTTTGTGTTGGATGGGGAGAGGCCCCTGAGGCGGTGGGTGGAGTATAAATCCCTCCTGTCCCACTGCAGCAAACAAACCCCAACCAAGTCACGCTCAAACTATTTTCTGCAGCAACAGGAGAAGGCGCTTTCCTGCATTTTGCCAGCCCAAGAGGACACTCAGGCTCGGCTTTTTCCATTCTCCAAACCTGTTGCTGTCTAGACATTTCCCCTGACCCTTTGACCACCCACCCTCACGGAGCAAGGCACGCTGTCCAGGTACATCCCACCAACTTTGCTTAGGATACTGAGCACCCTCGTGGCACGAGGGCGATGAAAGGCGCTGACAGGGATGCCCTGCTCTCCCCCACAGTGACACAGTGACATCTCCACACGGAGCATCCGTGCTCTCCCCCACAGTGACACAGTGACAGGTGGGTGGCTGTAGCCAGCCCTCCAGCCCCAGGGTGGCTGTACCAACTCTCAGATGGGTGCTGGGAGAGCTTGGCTCAACCTTGTGGCAGCAGGGATCCAGCACAGCCTCCCTTGGAACTCGCCCACCTGCCAGGGCCAGGAGAGCTCGGCTCATACCCCAGAGACACCAACAACTTCCTCACTTACTCCTGCTGGATTTTTAGAGAATAATTTTGCTGGCTGAGTTCGGAGCAGACTGGATCTGAGCTAGGATACCTTCAGAGCAAGACCCTTTCAAACCAGACCTTGTCCCACGGAAAAACCCTTTCCAGACAGGGAAGCAAATGCTGGCCCTGCATCCCAAGGACCGGAATCCTCCTCAGCATCTCACCTCCACCACCCTGCACCTATAAGCCCAGGGCTTCAGGACACCCACCAGCCTGTCAGACGGAAGCCCCGGCTCTGTCTCTGAAGGAACCCTGTGGCCACGGGTCCCGTGGGTTATAACCACACCTTGTGTGAGGGAGCGCTGCTTCCTGGTAGCTTTGAAATGCGTTCTTCCCTTTCATTCCCCAACACAACCTGCACAACAAGTCACATCCAGCCCCCTTTCACAGACCAGCCACACCGAGCAGCGCCTCAGTCCTCCCGTATTCCAAAGCTAACGACCCCGGCAATTTTTACTTAACTAGAGAGACACTTAACGAGCTTTTCCGGCTTGGCAACACACAGGAACAGCTGGATTGGGCTGTTCTGCCCGGCCAAAGGACGGGTGGTTTCATAGCCAGGCTGAGAACCAACACATGCTGAGGCACCAGGGAAGGCGGTGTAGCCCCCTGGGCTGCTTTAGGGGCTGCCTGCCATCCTCCTCACGCTGGGGACAAGGGTATGCTGCCCTCTCCTTTTCCCACCCTTCGGGAAGCTTTTCTCAGGAGTGGAGACACTCCTGGGATCCCCGATTCCCCATCCTCAGCGCTGCCCCGGTCCTTCAGAGCCCCCAGCGCTCCCCGACCCGCTGCGGAAGGGGTCAGGGCTGGCCCGGGAGAAGATCGCGGACTCCGAGGGGAGCAGACGGGCTCCTGTCCCGCGCGTGGGGCGGGAGATCCCGCGTGGATCGGAGGGGGTTTTCCCACTGACTGGAAGA